GACTTTTGCATGATTAAAATTTAACTATGAAAAGCAGTTTAATCTAATGTTGACATACTAAAAGAAGTGTAATATGGATTTCAAGTTTTTAACTCTTCCCTCTTCCAGGAAATCTCCTGGGACAATATGTCCCAATTGTATTGTCAGCTGGGACTATTTGTCCCAATCATCTTAGAAAACAAAACTAAAATGTATGGTAATATGTAATGTAAATATTACGAAACATGAACTCTGTCGCATGCACTAGTTCAAATACAATGGAAATTTTCATATATGTTTCATAAACACAAATATAATGTATCAGCATGTAGTAATTTGATCACTGGTGGGGCATATTAACCCACTGTTAAATACGATTGGGACAATATATCCCACAAAGAGATAAATTACTATTCAGTAATAACAATAAGAACTATTTCATACTAAGTATGCCTTAAATATAATTGTACTTACTGGGGGGAAAAAAATCAAAACTTGAGTAATTAGCATGCCCAAAAACGTAAGTGCACCTTCTGCAATCTAAAAGTATTGCAAGGTTTTTTTTAGTTATATATTTGTTCCCTAATTCCTTAAAAACACTGCAGATGTAGAAACATATTTAAAAGTTTCTTTTATTTATCCGATAGGGTATGAAATCCAATCTCTGGGACTAAGTGCCCATTAGAACCAAAATGGTTAAATTTTTTAGCACATGATATCGATATTAATTCCTTTTAATTTATCTTTATTTATTTAATTAAGTTTGCATCATTTTGTGTGACAATAGTAATATTTATTAATTGAATATTTATCTCTCTACGTGTACTCATATTTATCTCTCATACATATATAGCATATGTATCTCTCTCTATATATATGTACATGTTTTAATTAAAACTATGTTAATTTTCCACAGCTTTTTGATATGAGTACTTTTCTGTGTATTTTTGGGCAATTATTTTGATTCGGAAAAAAGCTGATTTTATAGCCTTTAAGCCGCCGTTATTTTAGGCTTTAAATACTCACCAAACAAAAAAGTTTTACATTTTGAAAAATGTTTCAGTACTTTTCCGTTTCGCCGGCGCAAGTCTTGCCAAGCAGACTTTATTGGCGACAACACACAGTATACATATAACAAATGTTAGTTCTATGAAATTTTTATTTTGAAGGCATAAACATTTTAATATCGTTTTAAAATTTTGTAAAAAGTCAGTAATTTAAGAATTTACTATGCTTTCATGGTACATCCTGATTCCTATCCTGATTTTTAAAAAGACAGTAATTTAAGAATTTACTATGCTCTCATGGTACAACATCCTGATTCGCTGTTTCATATCACATGACGCCAAGTGATCTCATCTCACGTAAACTATGCTACAAAAAACTAATTCTCTCAATAATTATCTGCCATTAATTTCAAGTTAAATCTCAATTTGGAATACAAGTTTAAGGGCAAGAATTGTTTCATTTCATACAAATAGCTTTATTATAATTGTAGAAATTATGTAAAACCGCAGTGCTTTACTTCTCTAGTGCATTCTCATTATAAATGATTAATTTAACCCTTGACTTTGCCTTTTCTGTGTTTTTCCCTTTGGGTGAGTGGTATGATTGCATCCTAATTGACTTAATAACCGCAAATGGTTTTAGGGCGTAAAAATGAACCAACTGGTAAAAATTCTATGTAACCGTATGCCAGTATTAAAAGAAACAATCAATCTGATAAGAAATGTCTGCGACTTGTTTTGAAAATGAAGCGTAAAAGGTTACTAGCGAGAATATTCTGTTTGGCATCAGTTGTATCATTTTTGGCGACTTTATCGCTTGCACTGGCAAAATGAAAAAGTACCAATATTTCTTGTTTAGTTCAGGGTTTCTCCTTGATGCATATGCTTGTAATGCATTCGGCCTTTTTAGGTTTTTTTAAGCATTTTATTTTTTCAGGTTTTTTGCCAAAAAAATTTTTGCTTTTCATATTTTTAATTTTGTGTTTCTTCTTTTGTATATTATTTTTGTAGTTCTGGGGTTGCGAATGCATGTAGGGAAAAGGTCTGAACATTTGAGACCCACTAAAATGTTGTTTTAAAGTGAAGGTTTGATTTGTATATAACGGTTTTGAGTCTTAACCCTTTGACGCGCACGATATTATTTTTATAATTGTTTTAACTAAAAACTGTAGAAATTAAATATTATAATTCTAGAGACAAATAATATATGAATTTAAAAAAATCTACTCTTGCCCATTGATATGTGGGTAGTGGTCGCACTGTGAAACCAGCCATGCGTGTCTAGGACATTAAAACTTAGTGAGATAGTAGGAAAAAAAGCTTACATTTTCCGTGCGTATTTCCAATAAATGGCAAAATTTGCGAATTAAGATAAAAGTGTATGTAAGAATTGCATTATAAACAAATTTTTTATATTATTTTACAAAGTAAATCGTCGGAAACAAGTTAAAAAATAAACATTTATGCAATTTTTTCTATAGCAGTGAAAACATGAGAACCTACATAATAAGGACGTTCAGATAAATGTATAAAAAAAACTCAATAAAATAAGGATAAAAAAAAACTCAGTTTTTTTTTTTTTTTTTTTTTTTTGTGACACTGTTTAAAGCTGTTTTGTGTCTTTGGTACATGCATAGACCCACACTGCACGTTTCGCATACATCTTGTTCTATGATGTTTCTTTCTTGTGCTACAAATGTACACTGCCTGGATTTAAATTTCACTGGTATATGTCCAGCTTATTTATTTCTTTCATCGCACCTGAAATGTGTTTTTTTATTATGGGGTTGGTCTTTTTGGCTTGTACGGATCGTTCGTTCCCATTCTATTATTTTAGTTGTTTGGTCCCAAAATATTCAGAAAATATTTTTAATTTAAATAAAACTTTCATGCAATTTCTATTTTAATTATAAGCAAAGTATATTACATAAATTTAAACCACATGAAATATTTAAAATTACAATACTAGCTTGGGGCAAGTGTGTTGATCAGAGAAGTATTTGGAAAAGATAGACCTTTTACGGGTAAGGTGCATGTATTGTTTAGTAATAAAATAACTCTGTGGGTTCAAGCCCCTTTATCTATACCGGGTAAAAATAAACATTCCTATTTGAAAGCAAGCGAACGCCATTGAGAAGCAATGCCATGGTTTCAAGGCGCGACTACCGAGCCTCTAGAGGATTGAAGCATGTGACACAATGCTCGTGGCGCATGGTCGTGCCGAAACCACATAGCAAGCCATACTATAGAGGGTTTTTTTTTATATATGCAGTTTAATTACTGCAATTTTTTATGTTTATGATAGAAATCATGATGTGCGATGACTAACTTTGAAATTTAAAGTTGTTTATATTAATAAAAGGAAGTTATTTTGTCTCATCAAAAACGAATTTTAAAAGACATCCGCTCTGAAGTATTAATACCTAAAACATATATGATTCTACAGTCATTTTGCATTATTTAGATGTAAAAGATCAGTAATCACTTCATTTTCACTCAAAAATTTCGGAAAAAAGAGGAGGGGAAAAAATTGGAAAATGGTGGTTTCAAGGCACGACCACCACGCATCAAAGGGTTAAATGATTCAGAGGAAACATTTATTCAAAACTCATTAATCAACCTGGTTTAAGGCTTCAAAACACTTTTCCCTTGACAAATTATGTTGAAGCATTAAACAGATTAGATTAATACATATATTTGGTTTGTTTGATTTTGTATTATTTTCAGTTTTGTATTTGTATTGAAGTTTCTTTTAATTTTGCATATACTCCTTTTGGGTTACGACTTTCATTGAGAAATAATTGGTTAGGGCCTTTAAAAGGAAGACATTATAATCTATCTTTTAAGTTCCGACGTTTCCTTTTAATTTTATTAATTACATATATATATTATAAATTCAAAGTAAAAGTAATTAAAAGTAAATTAAAAAGGCCTATGACTTGTGCTAAAACTGCAAAGTTATTATATTATATGTATTTTTATCTTGTATATGAATATATAAAATAAAATATAAGTAAAATAAAATATTTCTTTAATTTGCAGTTATCCCTCGATTGCCCATTTTAATTTGATTATTTACCATTTCTGTCCTAAAAATATTAACTAATATCTCTCTGAACTGCATCCTTTAAAAATTAATCTGATATTTGATTTGTGCATGTTTAAAGCATTGTTGTATTTTTGGCTCGCAGAATGATTTTAATGTTTTAGTTTGTAAATAGTACCAGTCATAGTGGAAAAAAACTTTTAGCAATCACACTTGATTTGGAATTATGTTAATAGTTTTGAATCTACTATTTGTTTTGTGCATATTTAAAGTATTTTTATATTTTTTGACTACAATAACTAATTATTAAGTTTTTTATTGTTTTAGGTTGTAAATAATACCTGCCTATAGTGCAAATAAACTTTTGGTAATCACACTTGATTTGGACTTAGATTATTAGTTTCAAATTTGCTATTTAGTTTGTACATATTTAAAGTCTTGTAGTTTTGGCCCATAATAAGCGATTACTAAGTTTTATTAATGTTTTAGTTGTAAATAATAATAACCTACAGTGCAAGCGTACTTTCATTAATTGTACTTGATAGGTAGCTAAGTTATTAATATCTATTATTTTATTTGTACACATTTAAAGCATTGTTTTATTTTTAGCCCAAATAAACTTGTAAAACAAGTTTGATTTGGAGTTGGTTATTAGTGTCTAATCTATTATTTGTTTTTTACATATTGTATTTTCAGCCTGTAGTAAGTGATTGTTAGGTTTTTATTAATGTTTTCATTCATAAGTAGTAACTCGAAGTAGAAATAAATTTTTAGTTGATTCTACAGTTGCTGTATTTGGCATTTTTTTATTCGATTCTGAAGTAAAGATGAGACGATAATTCTTTTTAGTCTAGTAAATTTAGCAGGTATTTAGATTTAATGAAAGATTTAACCTTACAATTGCATGTGTATAACTGTAATTTTTTACACTTGGATAAATTAAATCAAATTTTTTCCCCTCTTTATAGGCGGATATATGTAGTGATGTTCCTGCAGTAAAAACGGTAGAATCTGCTGCAGTTTCTGTCTCCCTAAGTTCTATATGCTCATCACATATTGCTACTATACCCATCTCTGTTAATTCTACTTGTAGTGCACCTGTTGCTGCAATTTCTGTTTCTGTAAATTCTACCTGCTCTGCATCTACTTCTGCAATTCCCATCTCTGTAAATTCTACCTGTGATACACCTAGTGCTGCAATTCCTGTTTCTGTAAATTCTATTTGCTCTTCACCTACTGCAATTATCAATTCTGTAAATTCTACCAGCAGTGCACCTACTATTACAATTCCTGTATCTGTGAATTCTAGTTGCTCTTCATTTACTGCTGCGATTCCCCATTCTGTAAGTTCTACCTGCACTGTACCTACTGTTGCAGTTCCTGTTTCTGTAAGCTCTGCCTGCTCTGTACCTACTGTTGCAATTCCTTTTCCTGTAAATTCTATTTGCTCTTCACTTCCTGCCGTAATCCCTGATTCTGGAAGCTCTACCTGCTCTGCACCTATTGATGCAGTTTCTCTTCCTGTAAATTCTGCTTGCTCTTCACCTACTATCACTGCTACATCAGAACCTTCTGTTGGCCCACTACCTGTTACAGAATCCTCATTAGTAAGTTCATCTTCCATACCTGCTGCAGTTCCTGTATCAGCTGAATCCTGGAAACAACCACTTGAAAGAAACACTTCTAGAGTTAAGAAAATACCTCCAAAGAAGTCTGTATCAAAACTCAGAAAATTACCTCCTGTGTGGTCTGTAAATATTGTACCAGGTAATGGAGTAAGATTAAAATTTACTTGTATTCGTCCTGAAACCATCGAAAGTGTAGATGAGAGTACCGAATCAGCCGAGTCTGAGTTTTCAGATTAGCTCATGATATTTGTAGTTCATCAACTGTAAATGTATGTGCATAAATCAGTAGTAATATTAGTTTTTATTATTTAAAATCTGTTATTTCTTTTTTAAAAAAATTTTACCTTGGCTATCACATATGAACTTGTAAAATTTAAATTTTATAGTGCAGTATTATGAAGCTTTATAAGTGGTAAAATTAATTATTAAATATATTTTTATAAATAATCTTAACTGCAGATTTCATGAACGAGAATTTGTAATGCACAGCTTAACTTGCCAGTTTTGTCCCCCATTCTGTAAAGAATTTTTAAATATAAAGGTTGTAAATATATTGTATGTGATAACTTTTAAAACATTTAAGCTGTTTTTAGTCCCCCCCCCCATAATTCACATTGTGAAATTAGTCATAAATCATGTGTTTTGTTCCATAAGCAGCTTACTCTATGATATTTATACATTATTTTATTCATTTTCTACAAATATTCCTTGCATTTCTTATCTTTTCTTGCAGATGTATCATAACATTTTGTAAATAAAAAAGAAAATTATTTATTGCATGTGCTAAAATAACCATCATAGATGATTCTTGTTGGTTATAAGTGTGGTTTTTGGAGATACCAGTGTAATTATATTTATAGTTAAATTGTTCTTGACAAAAGTAGTTAAAAAACTGTATTTTATTACCAGTTCCTTCATTTGGTGTTATTCATTATTACTTTTAAATTATTTAAGAATCCCTTCCTTATAATTACATTATTATCACATTTTAATAGTTTTTTTGAGAGAGAGAGAAGTAACATTTTGTGGCCTTAATCACAATTTGCTCAGAACTTATTTAAAACTTAAAAGGATGCTTTGGACAGCTTTTCACAACCCATAATTTTTTTTTTAAATTCAGAGCTGACAAATTTCTGCCAAAATAGTTAAAACTATCTGCTTATAGGTAGTTGAAACTGATAAGGGAAAAACTAGTATCTGTCACATAAGTATAAATTACAGAAATAACTGTAAGATGGCAGTTATAGAAATTCTTGAAGTAATTGAAAATATATCAAAATATTATAAGTAGCGGTAGGGAATATATTTTAAAATGAAGCATGTTCAGACCACAAAATACCCTAGAATTCACAATTCAGGTTCAGCTTTACTTTTTTTATGAAATAGATTACAGTAGAAGACCAGTTTAGCACTCTGCAATAACCAAAAGTTCAAAAATACATGCCCAATAAGATTTAATCGTTCAAGTTGACCTTTTCCATGAAATTCTCTCCAAGAGAAGATGGATTTAGTGTTCATTATAACAAAATACCCAGAAGATCTCATGTTGAATAAGATAGAATTTAAATAATAAACACAGCATGCATAACTTAGAAATGAAGAATTGTCTTCATATTTTTTTTTTTTTTTTTTTTTTTTCCGGATTGGTTAAATTGTATGTTTATTATTCGTTTACTGCCTATTATAACCAATTTGCCACTGGCTTAGCCAGAAAAAGCCAGCCTTATGAAAGTTTTGATGCATATTTTAACATTAAAAAATAGAATTTTTAATCTTATTTTTTCATTTCTAAAACAGTTGTGAACATAAAAAATTAAATAAGATAGCTGTTTTTGTAAAGTTAAATAAGATAGCTGTTTTTGTAAAATTAAATAAGATAGCTGTTTTAAATTCATTGAAAATTAAATATGAAGTTTAGAAAGCCTCATTTGTTTTAAACTTGTGTAAAATTAATCTTACTAAGCTTTTGTTGCCAGATCAAAGTTGATAAATGACATAGATTTATTGTATAATTTTTCAAAATTCTGAAACGGTCCATTTGCTATCTGTAAATTAAATTCATGTTTTGAATATATTTTTTATCTTTGTTGAATATTTTAATCACTTTTGCATTAATTTATTATTTTTAAGCTCTCTTTTTAACTAATATTAAACAAGGGTCATAAATGGAATTACGATTTTGAATAAATTTTTTTTTATTTTACATTAATCATGTTTTAATGTCAGCATATTAATAATAATAAACTTGGTTTTATGCATGTTAATGTATCACATATACTTGTTGTGTAACTAAGTTACAGATCTCTAAACCTCTAATAATAAATAACACTTCTTAATGATTATTTATATATATATATATATATATATATATTTGATAAAAGATCATTGTTGTAATATATGTTATATATTTAGTCTGTAGGGGACTTTTCGGAAATAGCATTTTAGCCTTCTGTCGAGTGTCTTCTTTGTATTTGCTATGCATGTGTATATCTTTAGAATTGTTTGTTTTGACTTTCAAGATGTGCCTTTGCAATAAAGCCTTGGCTGCAGTGTCTGATCGAAACTTTCTGATTATCTGCACCCCAATGGAAAGCTGCCAGCACATTGGCAATCTATAGGGAATCATAGTAATGTTCCATTTGTAAATAACAATCGAAAGAAACGGTACTTTCCCCTTAATTAGATGTAAACATTGCCAATGGTACATTTTCATTTTGGTGACAGTGCAGTATTCCAGCTTTGGCCAGAGACTTGAAATATGTACACCAGTTGTGAAAATAGAAATACTTTTGATAAATAAATCAAAAATGACATTCATTTCATTAAAAAAAATAGGAATAGTTGCTTTTAAGAGAAAAAACTCCATAAGAAAAAGGAGTTTTTCAGTGGTGAAGTATGAAATTTTTAAGAAAGAACTTGTACTTTGAATATTATGAAAATAAAATGTCAAATTTTACTCAAATGTTTTACTCTTTAAAAACAAAGAAATAGTTATGCACAAAGGAAAATATTTTTGAATAAAAAAAAAAAAAAAAATCACAGATATTTCATTAAATAACCAGTAAATTTTAATTATGAAGCACAATTTATGCCAGAGGCTGCTATAAATTATTTTCTTCTGTCATGGCAGTTGATTTTCTAGAAGTCTTTGTAATGGTTTTTGAAAAATGTTTTTATATAAGGTTTAGGGCTAAATTCCGTTAAGTTTCCCATTCAAGAAAATCTTAAACCTTATGTTCAAAGTTTGTGTTAATCGATCTGACAGTTTGTTTAGCTTTAGTGCTACTAACAGTGATAATGTCCGTAATGACCTCAATTTTCTTTTTACCACCATTTCTTACTCTGTGGTTTGTGAACCACAAGTAGTCTCCAAAACTTGTTCTTTGGGGTCCTCCTAGATTTCTGAAAAAAGGCAAAAAATAAAATTCAAATTAACTGCATATTCTACATATAACTGAAAACCTCTTTGGAAATTACACATGGCAATTGTCTATCATGTTTTCTCCCAAAGCTGATATTTTTGTTTTCAATTACCAAGCTGATATTTTTATCTGATATTTTTTATACCAATTTTAAATTTAATTAGTTATCCTACCTATGGATTATCTACTTTAATCATAGCAACAAAAGAGGAATTTAAAGCACTATGTCAGGGGTGGTGCTTCCAAGCATACATCGAAACTTAGAACAGCTGTGTCATCGAAACTTAGAACAGGTCTTTCATCTCATAAACGTGAGTTTAAACATTTATGTAATTTTTAATTAATAATATATAATCTTATCTAAATTGTAAAAACTTTGAGTTATTGAAAATAAATATACATTATCTTCTATAAACTTGCCAATATTAACCATTTTTAATATCAATATGAAATTAAAAGAATTTGAAATAATTTTATTTTGAAAATATCCATATGCTCAAAAAATTGTTATTGAAAAGACAAGAATAACGTGGTCCACAGAATATTCTAATTTATAAAAGTAATCCCCACTTGAAAAAAGTTTGAGAAATTCTGCTTTGCACTACTAAGAATTTCATTATGCAGTTTTCCTGTTAAAGCAATTTCAACGAAGTACTGCAAATCACTTATTTTAATATGAAGTTAAATTGTTTGTATCCATCTGGTTGTGGATTATGTTACTTTTTTACATCCCATGTCTCTCTATAACAAATATTAAAAATCATTTGTAATTCTTTGTCATTTTAATTTTTCTCTTATAATTATTTTGTTGCAGTACTCTTATTTTATACTTGAAATCTGTAAAAGTTATCCTTACTTTAAATCATAATTTTTTTTTCAAATTTATTTGATTTTAACATAGAAATAATTTGTTTTAAGCAAACAATTAGAACAAAGAGCTTGCAAATTAAAGATAAATTTAATACAGAATTATATTATTGTATAATTGTGTGAGCATCCTATAGCTTTCTACTGGATGCTCCTAGTTATAAAAGGTGGAAAACTTTAATTTAAACATCAAAGCATTGTTTGTTGTACACATACATGCAGAAATAGGCGAAAAAAAGGCTGCTTATTTTCTTATTTAGTATAAGGGGGGGCAAAAACTTTTAATATCATTTAGGAATCATGCTTTAGTAAATGAATCTTGGGTATTAAAAACTCAATCTTGTTGATTCGAACCCTGTTCTTTTACTAATACTCTTTTTGGCACAACTGGTAGAAACACTGGATAATTGAATGCTGTATGCTAAACAAGGATTGATTTCAGGATTTTTCGCACAAGTTACATTAGTAAACAAAAGTGCTGCTCCCTTGAGAAAATAACACAACTTCTTCCTGTGTGTAAGTAAATCCCAAATTCTCGTCGTAATTAAGCATATTGAAATACTGGTAAAATAATTGAGTATCCATTTAGAAATCCATGTGGAGAATGACAGAAAATTATTGTAATATCAGTGATGGCTACTGAAAACAATCTGTTGGTTACACCCAGCTAAAGTACCAAAATGTTTTGTAAGAAACAAGGAATTTTATGGGAACAAAAATCGCTGATGGGGGAAAAAGCACTGATCTATAAAATAATGGCATAGATTGGTTATTGCCACATGTGTATTTCAAAATATTACAAAATCATGATAGTTCTACTGAATAATAAGACTGGTGATGTGGGTAGTCAGAAAGTACTGTTTAATCTAACAATATTTGAATTTTAAATGACAATCTTCTGTAATGTTGCTCAGTATTGTATATTGAAATGCCTTTGGTCTTAATAGAAAATTCTGTATTTGTGATTGCAATGTGTACTATATACATGTGTTAATAACTGAAAATGTTTTCTATTTCAACATTGTTTTTTGGATATATATGTTCTTTCTAGTAATATGTAAAAAATAGTGCTGATGTATTTTGTTGTATGTCAAAGAGTAGAATATGGGCAGTTTTGAGTACCAAAAATAAGTTATGAAATTTATATAGATAAGAGTGTAGAATATTTGTATATAATATACATATATAGGAAATAATAACTTTTACTATTTGCAGAAAATCATGTATTTCTACATATGTTTTTACATTACCTCCATTAAAAAAAAGGGTACTTTTCTGTAAATCGGGCAGCCGTCACCATATATGGTAATCAGTTCATTTTGTGTCATGAATAGTTGTACATGATGATAAATTATTGCAATTCTCATATTTTTTAAGAGCAAAAGCATCAGAGAATTACACTCATTAAATATTATTATAGTATATGATACATTACTGTTATTAAAGTTTTTTTTTTTTTTTTTTAATTCAGCTTTATGTATCGTTAGAATTGCCATCATCTAGATAGATTTTGTGTCAATATTTATGTACAAAGTAGTGCCCTCTTAACAGAAAAGTACTAAAGGAAGGAAGTATTCATTATCCATTTTTCAATTTTCTATATTACATGTTTTTCTTTAACATTTCATATGTAAAAATTTTGTACTGTTGTAATACTGGTAAAATAACTTTATTTGAATACATCATGTCGCTGTTTTTTAGAAATGGCATTAATTTTTATTCTAAAAATCATTTTTCTTTTCTGTAAAAGGAAAATATATGTAAAGATGCAACTTGAATTCAAACAGTGGTGCTTGATTTTGTATATATTAATATTCTGATATGATTTAGAACATTTTTATTATTTTGCAGAAGCATCAAAATTTTATTTTTCCAGAACAGAGTGGCACTTTTATATTTGAGATCATTTCATTGTTATAACTTAACTCTATATACCTTTTAAGCTCTAGTAGAAATTTATATGTTGGGGAAAAAATAAAATATTCCAATGGAGGGGCCTTAAAAGGTTTAGTAATAAATTTCTGTTTTAAGTAATTTACCAAGGGATATAAACCTTCTGTACTGAAAATTTGAGATAGTTCAGCTGTGTAATAACTTATTCTGTATATAGATTTTAAAGAAGTATACAGTAGAAATATAATAGTTTTACAAAAATATGTTTTAAACATATACTGGTCAGACTCAAATCTTTCTGAATTTTCAAGAAATTCAACGTGTTAAATTCTAAGAAAAATCTTATCTTTAGAAATCTTAGTAAATATTTAGAGATTAATGTCTTGTAATTAAAGAAATTGAGGTAAAAGAAACATTTGTAGTTGGGATAAATCAGTGGTTATAAGCCTAATTTAATAGAAATTAACCGAATTCTTAATTCTTCTTCTAAATGAAAGTAACAAAAATATAAGTTTTGTCGTGTATGTAGCTGTAACTGTAGTAGAATAATACCTAGTAGTGGAGATTGAGTGATGTTTAAATGATCATGTGTGATCTTATTTCAACCTGTTAGTAATTTATAAATATAAGCATATGATAAAACTGTTCCTGTTATTTAAGATTTGCCTGCATTAAAAAAAATTAAATCTGTTGCAATACATACAATAAATCCCAAGTCTAGTAAAGAGTTAACAGAATCTTTAAATGGCTCTTAAAACTTATTTAAGGGATTTAAAAATTTAACTAGTTATATTTATCATGTTTGAGATATTAATAAACGGAAATAAATGTACACAAGATCAGTTAAATGCCATTTAATCTGCAGTACTTGTTAGTATTCTGTTCTACAGTTACATGTTTTATTTTACAGTTACAGCTACAGATATGACCAGTTTGGCACCTTTTTATTACACTGACCTTTGGCAATATGTAAAATTGACATATTACAAGTTGGATGATTAGATTAACCTCTTGAATAAGTATAATAATGGTAGTAAAGTAACATTAGTTTTCAATAGTGAATGACTTCACAATCACAGCGTCTAAATAACAAATTGAAAAAGTCAATTAATAATTTCGATAACATCCACTCGTTATTTGCATCAAAATCTAGATTTTAGTTACTTTTTAATGTAGAAAACATATCCTGTTACATATTGGCCTCGAACCACTGATCATCACAAGGAAGTTACAGCTCTGACACCATTTTATAAAATAATGCTGAGCATCAACTGGTGTACCTATAAGGCATTAAATGTAGTATCAAAAATATGCTAAGTCAGTATTTTTTCAAACTGTTTGAAACATAATTTCTAATTTACACAGTACAGTGAAAAAGCATAAAAAAATTATTTTTAGCAAAGAATTCAAAAGCATAAGTTACTACTGCAGTATATACATATTTAGAGAAGTAAATTAAAAGTAGGATTTTTCATTCTGTTTTAGTCACAAGAATTCTGTTTAATATTGTCTGATATTGTTAAGCAGCATTATAATCTCTAATTAGGAAAGTCTGCCAGTTTTGAACTCTCAATTTTTCAGAAAACTATATTCATGAATCTGCTCATCTAGGGATACATGATAACAGAAAATTTAGCTGCTAATATTTTGTAGGTAGACAATTAAAAAACTGCAAAAAAAGTAATGAGGTTTGATAGTGCAAATGCTATTTGGCAGTTTGTCTTATTTTCAGTTGATTTACCCAGTGCAAATATGAAATAGTAAATGAATATATAAAAGCAAAGAATATTTATTTTAGCTGTCAGTACACAGTATATGAAATGTAATGTTAAATAGCTTTCATGTTAGCTGTATATGATCAGGCTTGTGCTTAGTGTGTAAATTATGTTGATCTATGCTTGATGCATGAGTTGCAGTAGAATACATTTTTCTTGAGTACATGCAAGTGGAAGAAAGTAAAGCATGCCAGCACATCCTGAGATTAAGTTTGTGTTTGGCAATCAAAAGCTTTTGCTTGTTTTGTGTATAAGAATTTAATTTCAACTTGCATCTTTTCTTTTTTAGAGTAAAAGAATCATCTGTATTTTTCCTCCCAATATGTTTAAAGCAAGTACGGATTGCAAAACTGAGGAAGGATTTTTCTAAAAAGCAATGAAAATATTGTAAATACAGCAGTATGAAAAAAAAAAATTGAATATGTTTTCTCATTTAGAAATACATAATGTTAGAAGAAATAGTTTCTAAACTGATATAAATTGAAAATTTAAAATGTATAAATTTTAAATATTTATGCAGTGCTGTGTTGGTAGTTTTTCAAAGTCTAAAAATCATCAAATTTCATCCAAAAGTTTGCCATTGCTGATCAGAAACACCGTTTTTAATAGTTTTTTGTTCCCCCTTCTTCCTCTTCTTCTTTATCATTTGTAGAATATTAGTAGCTGTATTTTTTACTATTGTGTATTTCTAGGGCAGCAGATTCATATACCATATTCTTGTATATATAAGCCGCAACCTTAATTTTTACTTCTAATTTTAAAAAATCTAAAGCCACAGATACCTTATCTACCATCTATGATGCTTCCCCCCCCCATTTTGGAATGTGATAGCTGCTAAAATGAAAACAGTACTTATGACACACAGAAAATGTTTTATTATCAATCAGAAAGAATATGTGTCTGTGTTTAGCACCTCTTGTTCACGGTTGCTCTCAGTACGACTGAAATAGTTGATTGCATTACCAGTATTACTATTGCTGGTACTGGTATCCCACTTCATGTTATCCCCAGAGCCATCTAGAGCAGTGGTCTTTACAGAAGGGGCTTGTGAAAAACTTCTTTGAGATTGCAAGGTGGTTGAAAAGCTGCATAATAGGGTTCCAGATGTATTATAAAATATATATTCTGGAGAATTTGGGTCAAAATATGGCCCAAGCACCCAAAATAGGATCACAATCCTAAGACGTTTGGGAACTACAGGTAGAATATCAGATATTCCACATGTCAAAAGTTCTTTAACTATTGTTTGAGGCTTGACATTTTCAAATGTTTGATTGCCTAAGATTTTCCTTCAAACTACCTGCTACCACAACTAAACTTGGATGCCCAACAACAAATGAATTTATACTCGGTTGTTAAATACGCATTATTATATTGCCACATGTTTTTGTGTACTTATATCTAATCAATCATGTATATAATACCATATGTATACCTGATTTTCATCTGCTTTTAAAAATAAAAAAAATGTGTAGCTTGTACTCAATTACAGTATATTTTCCAGAAGTATTGATCGTTTAAGACTGACACATTCCTCGTTTAGATGTGAATCAGTTACAATAATCAAAACAACAAATTTTAATATTGATAAGGAATTTCTAGGGTGCTTTTTTTAATAACATTTTATGGTATGAACATACAAATCTATTAAATCAGTGATTATTTAGTTCTCGTTTGATTTTCAAAGAAATAGCAGTTACTCTATTATTTCATAGTTTCATTTTTTTAATTCATGATATGCGATTTCTTTAATGTGTTTGTATACATACAAATCTTTACATTAATTTGAAATTTATGTATGATTTATGTGTACTTAATAACTTATATTCGTTTATTTGTCTCTGAATGAGGAATCTATTTTAACATTGCATGTGTGGTGTTAAAATAGATTCTTCATTCAGAGACAAATAAACGAATTCAAGTTCTTTTCACATGCTTTGTAGTTTTACTATTATTAAAATTCAAATTGTATTTTACATATATCAAATGATGCATTTAATAAAGATAGCTTTAATTGAAAACAAAGAAAGTTCAGGAGATTTAAGTTTGAACAAGTGACTCTGTCAAAGAATTTGAAAGATATGTAGGGATTTCTTAATAAATATTTTACTATAAGAATATGTATTTTGAATTTTAATTAGAAATTTCATTAGTTAAAGAAGTAAACATATATTTTAATTTGTATGAAAAGTGGTGAGATGAAGTATAATGAAAGTAATTTTAAATGTTTTTAAAAGTATGAAATTTAAAAATTTATTCACCAAAAAATTCTTTTTGAAAAGTTAGTTTTATGGGTTATGCACAATATTGTTTATTCCTAATTACTCATTCGGTAAAGTTGCTGAACATTGGTAGTTGGTTCCAGGATTTGAATTCCAGCAAACAGGTTGAATGCATGGTGTTTTTGTGGTTTTTCCCTATGTGTAACATGTGTGTGAGCAAGTTTCCTTAGAAAGTCCTCTACAAAGGCATCCCTCTCATTAGGCAGATAGTCCTCGAATACTTTGCAATAATCAAATAAATCATTTGTTTAGAAAAAATGTATGTTGATTTGAGATTATTTTATAAATATTATTCAGATATTTAATAATTAATCAAAGAAGTTTAGGAGTTGTACTCAAGATGTACTTTTTCTTGACTAAGGATATTTTCATTGTTGGAAATTGAGTATTATTTATTGATTGTTTTGAAGTTATCTTTTTTTCAAAAATCGTTCTTCAACTGTCATATTATTATAAAATTAAAGTAGTATTATGTGAATAAAAAAAAAGTTATATTACCTATTTGAATTATTTCATTAATTCTATAGCCATTTTTTTAAATTCAGAATTAAACACCTTTTAACATATTTAGTTCAGTGTAAGAAAATTTCAATCATAGTTGAAACTTACTATGATTGAAATTTTCAGATTTGATGATATCAGTCTTGAATTTTTTTTTAAACTTCACATGAAAGTGATAATTTCAGCAGTTTTTTTTTTTTTTTTTGTTAGATATTAACATATATGCACAATGACAGAAATAATACTAAATCATATTGAAAATATATATTCAAAAAAATTATCCAAGAAACCTCTATAGGTCTATATAAATATGAATTACTCGATTTTTTTGAGTTCTATCATTAATGCTTCTGCCTCATTGAAGTATCATGTTCTGGTTACTCCCTGTTCACCTTTCTCTACCACTGAGTCATGTAGATCCCCAACATTTAAAAATTTTAAATATCTGCGGATATCAAGCCATAAGTTTCGTAAAGACTGTTATTACTCTGTACTAATAAAAGTGGCCCCTTACAAAAGTCAATAAGTACCTAATATTATGTGTAAAAAACCTGGTGTGAAAGAGTAACTGGATCATAAGCCCATGGTGACATCGGAAATCTGTGTTTTCATATCGCTAAGTGTTTTTTTTTTTTTTTTTTTTTTTTTTTTTTTTTTTTCCTTCCAAATAAAAAATTGCCGTAAAAAAAAAAAAAATCCTAATATGGTGTGTGGTAGACTTATCTTCTGTGCCATTTTAGATTTTATTTTAAATTAAATGTTTCCATAAACTTAATAAAAACTATAAAGATTTTTTTTTAAATGAGATATTTGGGGATTTATAACTTGCACATGACTAAGAGAAAAGCACCTACATTTTTCATGAGATTAGCAGATCCATATATGAGCTGACCTCATGATTTAGCTTTAGAAAAATATCCAAAAATTCTTGGCTCGAAATATATATATTACACGCTGGCCAATTAAGTTTACCTTTTCTGGCAACTTTAACAAGGAAATACAATGTTTGTTTATTAAATAAATCGGTCTTTTAAAGAAAATCTGCGAGATTATTATTCAGTTTGAAATTTGCAAAAATTCTTTCAGTCTAAGTGTAAAGTTTAGCAAATGAAAAATAAAGTAACAGAATTTATCATGCAGTGTTTAAAAAGGTTGTAACATTGTTATAAGATTATTTTCTAAATTATATTAAAAGTATGAGCAGTAGATAATCTAAGATTATGATACATTAAGTGGCGTTGACTTTCTATTCTTGTGTTTATTTTGCGATGGGGAGGAGGAATGAAATGCGTAATTGTGCTGCTAAATAAAATAGTCCATATGATACATTTATTGTCACATTCTGAACATTAACTGCATCTAGTAACCTATGTTTATATCTGAGTTGTTTTTAATAATTAGAAAGAAAACTCAGCTTTGTACCTCTTGTAACTGTTAAATTAGTGAACATATTAAAATTATATTTTGATTTGCAAATGATGAATATCTTTTCTTCTTGAGTTCTTCCGTTTGCAATTAAAGTGCAAGTACTGAGCGGACTATTTTCTTTGTTGTTTTGAGAAAATTAACTGAGATTTATGCTTTTCATTCCTTGTTTATACAAAAACATTGAAAGATGTGTATATTTTTCTTTTTCTTTATATTTTGAAATTTATTGTTCAGTTTCTGAATCATAGAACTGTAGTTTACAGATCTGTAGTAAACTTATACCAAAGTATATGTATTCATACCTATCACCTTTTAAGGAATTGTCACATTCCCCCTTATGTCTGTAGTAGTGTAAATAGAGCATGTTCACCTAGCGTTGGAAGATTGGTGGTTCATATCCTAAAACAGAGTATTTGATTTTCTCTTGTTTTTTGACACAGAAAAAGTATTTTTAAAATGTATCGTGATATCTGAACAGGGAACCATTAGCATTTGTTGACTAAATATTCAAATCTGAGTGAGGACAACGATGATTTTTTTTGCTCAGGAAAAAATGTATGAAATGTGTCTGCAATCGTAGATAATGAATCATAATTTTTTTCAAGAATTTACGTTGGATAAATACTGCAGAGAATTTTTTTTAGCTCAAATTTGACCAGAAGGACTATTAATTTCGTATTGCATTGATTCACTATAAACAACAAATCTCTTTTTAAATTGTTGCCACCAAATATTATCGCCCTGTATTATATTTAAAGAAATTAAATAATGAAGAATCTGCATAAATGTATGTTATCTTTCTCGCATTGTGATAAAACAACGGTACATAGAGCCATCAAATTTTGAATAACCTACGAATTTGCTTTATTATCTATTTAAAATTTTGTAAAACTTTAATGATTTTTTATTAACAAAGTTAATGATTTGAAAAAGTGTTCCATTGACATTAACATTGCATGCATCTTCAACCACAGATATTTATACACAAGGTTTCTTTTTTTCTTATATTGCTGTTGTATTTAATTTTATGCAAAGAGCAAAATATTTAAAAATAAAGGTATTACTTAAAACGTTAAAATATTATATGCCCCTTGGCATAATATAAAATCTGAAAACTTTCGTCCCCCCCCAGAAGTGCTAGTATAGAAATGGCATTTTGCATTGAATCACTTTTTAAATTGTTGCTACCAAATATTGTCACCCTATATTATATATAAAGAGATTAAATAGTAAATAATCTGCATTGAATGTATATTTGTTCTTCGCATTGTGAAAAAACAGTGATACCTAAAGTCATCAAATTCTTAATAACATAGTCCTCCACCTGCAAGCCCAGATTTTGAATTTTGTTTTATTATCTGTTTCATATATTTTAAAGTTTAACGAATTTTTTATTAAGAAACTCAGCAATTTCAAAGCGAGCAGTTGCAACACACTGTGTGAAATAAAATATTTTCATCTGCAGTGTTCGACGTTGCTTATCAGAAATTCTAAAGATATGTCATTTTTAAATAATATTTTTAGCCCAAATCCCTTCAAAACATGTACGTATATGCGAATGATAAAAAAAATGCCACTTTGGGCATAATATAAAGTCTGAAAGCTTTCAATATTTTTTTTTTTAAGTTTTTTATTTTTGAATGAGAAACAATTCTGCACTTACTAGAATTCAAACTACAGACTTTCCAGCTGTTAGCTGAGCATACTATCACTTGCACACAAGAGCATGTATAAGGGAATGTTAAGTTTTTTTATATATTTTTTCCCATTTAAATTTCAGTTAGGGAGAGACCTAATCGATTAAATTCAGATGGTGAATTATCATCCAACACATTTTTAACTTGGGTTTCATTTTAGAAGTATTTAAGCGAGAATCGTGAAGTGACTATACCTTCACTGGGCTATGAATACTGCAGCTGTTAGCTGCGCATGCTACCAATTAAACTGTAAAGGCATGCATGGAGGAATGCAATAAATCCTTGTAATTGCTTTTCTTAATTCTTTTAGCAGTTTTGGAAGAAGATGTGTCTTCTTTTTAAATATCAATAATAATGATTTTCTATATTGTAGGCTGTTGTTAAATTTTAGTGATTTCTGTTAAATAAGAAAAGGGATTTAAATCACTTAAATTGATAGCTAAAACTATATAATAAAATACAGTTTAGTAGTTAATTTTGTTGTTCATATTCCTGTAGTTTAACTTTTACATTAATATTTCAGATTTTTCTGAAGTAGCAAATGGTTTGCAAAAAGTATTCCAGTTTTGTCTGTGTATAATTTTTTTAGTATTAATTTGTTTCTCATAGTTTATTTTCTAAATGTTTAGAAATTTAAAATTTATTCTGGGGTATTTTTCTGTCCATATATTATTATTACTAATATATTTATTGTATTTAAATTGTCGAGTAAAGATGTATATGTTTGTGAGAAATTATTTTTCAGTGTACTTTAATGTTTCTAATTTATTTACATGTATTGAATTTTTGTAATTTTAAATGGCTGCTATTTTTGCACTATTTATTTTAAGGAAAGAAATTATTTATTTAGGCTAGTTAAACTATCAAAATTATATGATTTTGTAGGTTTGGGTGTATGTGTTCATTTTATACATTCGGTTATTTTGTTTCTTTTAACATTAAAAAGAATTTGTTCTGTGATTTTCTTGCTGTAAATCTACAATTTTTAATATTGTGCAATGTGTAGCTGCTATTTTGTTAAATAATTTAAATCTGTAAAATATTATTTCACCCTTATGTATATATTAAAGGAATGTGTAAACATAAAACTTTGTATACACTAGTCTCAATTTAGTCATAGCATTTGCTGTAAATGTGTGTACAACAATATTAATTTAATCACAATTGTGTTTAGATCAGAGCTTGATTTACACAAGGGCAAATGGGACCCAAATCATATTTGAATACTATCTAAAGATTGTGAAAAGAATTTTTTTAACACAGAAATTTCAAATCATACATTTTGAAGCAAATACACAGGGAAAAAATGTGTTTTATGAAAGATTACACAAATGAAATGAATTTTAATATATTTACAGTATTTTTTCTTTCATTAAAAAGTAATTTTGCTTTGTAACATGTATTATCGTTTTTAACTGTCATAATCAAGATGTTCAAAAATCACTAAAATGAAAGATAAAAGATATTTTGAAAGACATATGAAATGAAAGTGTGAAAATATTTGCTATGTATAATAATAACAAATAAAAAAGCCAAATTTTTGGAAAATAGCTAGTTGAATAAATAACATATATGTGTGTCTGATCAAACTTTTAACTAATTATCTGCTGATAAACAGCAGTAAGTTTTTCGTCCAAAGAGGCAATTTGCCCTGAAGGACTAATTTCATTTTGGCATTTTGCCTTGAAAACTTTAAAAGGCTGTATCACTTTTCAAATCGTTGCTACAGATATTATCGCCCTTTATTATATTTGAAGAAATTAAATAATGAAGAATCTGCATAAGTATATATGTATGTTTCTTGCATTGTGATGAAACAATGGTACCTAAACCATCAAATT